AGACCAAGTCCTGCGCCCCAGTACCCAGACCCTAGGGATTTCAATCGCCCCATGCCTCCTCCTGCGCTGAATTCCGATTCAACCCGGTCAAGATCAATGGCAAAACTGAGCGGACCGCCTTACCAGACCCCGCCAAGCAACTTTAATCACACCTCTGCCACTGCCTCTCGCCGTGAACAGTATCATTCTGGTGCCCAGGTCACGCAGCTCGGCCGGCCTGTTCCAGAAAAGCATGCGAACGAACGGGCCATGTCTATGACTTCCTGGTCATCAGATCGGGATCCGCATATCATGAGCAGCGGAAGGTCAATTCCACACCGTAGACCTCCGTCAAGTCACGATCAACAGATTCCAGTAAGGCACGACTCAATTATGCAGCCCACTCCGGATGAATCTGTTGCATCTCGTCAGCTAAGTGATGCATCGCAGGCATCTCGAACTATGTCCATAGCATCCACTGTTGCCCCCGATCGGGCGATGAGTGTTCAAAGCCAAGCCACACAGAGCTCCTCCGGCAAAGTTACCCTTGTTTCTAGGGATTCACAGCGCAAAGTTCCGGTGGTCTATCCTGCTTTACTTTCTCTTGTCGCTGAGATTTTCAGGGAGAAGATTTCACTTGGCGAACGACAGAAGAACGGTCTTTCGTATCAAAATGCGTTTTCGGGTACTGATTCAGTGGACTTGATCGGCTCCATAATCAGAACTAATGATCGCAACCTTGCTCTTTTACTCGGCCGTGCGCTGGATGCTCAAAAGTTCTTCCACGATGTCACATATGACCACCGTCTTCGAGACGCACCCGGAGAGGTCTATCAGTTCAAGGAAACAATGGGAGAAGACAAGTCGACAACCGAGGTTAATGGGGTCTTCACCCTCCTGACTGAATGTTATTCTCCGACTTGCAACCGGGACACTCTCTGCTATTCTATTGCTTGTCCGCGACGACTCGAGCAGCAATCCAGGTTGAATCTGAAACCTGAGCCGGTACTAGGAACATCGGAATCCAAAACTGCTCTGCCTCCCGATGATGACGACGACAATGATAACCAAAAGCTGTGGATTAGCACGGTGCCCAAGGAGGTCTCGGACTCAGTTGACGATCACGAGAAGAAACGACAGGAAGTCATCTTCGAGCTCATGTACACCGAGCGTGATTTCGTTAAGGACCTAGAATATTTGCGGGATTTCTGGATGCGACCATTACGTGCTGCTGGAACCACCACTCATTCCCCAATTCCAGAACACCGACGTGAAAAGTTCATCCGAACCGTGTTTGGCAACTGTTTAGAAGTCCTTAAGGTCAACAGCGCTCTGTGTGAAGCCCTGAATGCTCGACAGAAGGAGAGTCAAGTCGTTCAAACCATTGGCGATATCTTCTGTCAACATGTTCCTAATTTCGATCCTTTCATCAAATATGGTGCCAACCAACTTTACGGAAAGTACGAGTTTGAGAAGGAGAAAGCATCAAACCCAGCCTTTGCCAAATTTGTCGAAGACACAGAACGTCTCAAGGAATCTCGGAAGCTGGAACTGAATGGTTACCTGACGAAGCCTACAACTCGTCTTGCAAGATACCCGCTTTTGCTTGAAGGTGTTTACAAAAACAGCGCGGATGGTAACCCTGACAAAGAAGATATTCCAAAGGCCATCAAGCTGATCAAAGACTTCCTTTCGCGCGTCAATGCCGAAAGTGGAAAAGCGGAGAACCATTTCAACTTAGTTCAACTGAACGCTGCACTGAAGTTCAACTCTGCGGACTATGTTGATTTGAAGCTTACAGAAGAAAATCGACAAATGCTCATGAAGATGTCATTCAAGAAGACTACAGCCGACAGCTCCGATGTTACTGCGTATCTCTTTGACCATGCCGTCCTGCTCGTTCGCGTCAAAGTGGTGAATAAACGAGAGGAATCTCGAGTTTACAGGAAACCAATTCCTTTGGAACTGTTAGTAATCGCTCAGATGGAAGAGGTTATCCCACGACTTGGTATTGCCAAAAGACCTTCGTCCAGCCTCCTGTCCAACAAGACTGTCATCAACAATCCCCCTCCTGCCAAAGATGGTGGACTGCCCATCACATTTAGACATCTCGGCAAAGGCGGTTACGAACAAACTCTCTATGCCACAAACAGCGCCACACGGCGAAAGTTTATCGAAGCGGTAGAGCAACAACAACACAAATTATGGGAGCGAAACAGCAATTTCTACAACAAGACGATCCTGAGCGAGGGCTTCTTCGCAGCGGTCAACCGGATCAACTGTCTTGTTCCGATTGGTAAGTTGAAATCCCCTTATTTGGCTTTAGTATCACTCGCTAACTCCTACCAGATGGAGGCCGGAAGTTGGTCTACGGAACTGATAATGGTATATTTGTCTCTGAGCGCTGGCCCAAAGACAAAACAGCAAAACCAAGAAAGGTTCTAGAGGCTACCCAAGTCACGCAAATCGACACTCTAGAAGAGTACCAGCTGCTGTTGGTTCTGGCAAACAAAACGCTTTCCTCTTATCCCATGGACGCTCTCGATTATGTCGAGGGCCAGAACAGCATGGCAAAACGGCCCAAGAAAATTCAGGGCCATGCCAACTTTTCAAGGCAGGCATTGGTCTCGGTCGTCATCTTGTTTGTTCAGTCAAAACATCGGCGCTATCAAGTACGATCAAGGTCTACGAGCCGATGGACAATCTGGCAAAGGGAAAGAAGAAGTCTGCTGTCAGCAAAATGTTCCAGGGCGGCCAGGATACTCTTAAGCCTTTCAAGGTACATATTTTCTCTTGCGTATTTGTGGTTCACTTCACACTAACACTTTCACTCAGGAATACTATATCCCTGCCGAGTCTTCTTCCATCCATTTCCTACGTTCTACGCTGTGTGTTGGTTGTGCACGTGGCTTTGAAGTGGTCAGCCTAGAAACAACAGAGACGCAGTCTCTCCTTGACCAGGCCGACACGTCCCTTGATTTCGTGGCACGAAAGGAGAATGTCAAGCCCATCCATATTGAGCGAATGAATGGCGAGTTCCTACTCAACTATAGTGATTTCTCATTCTTCGTCAACCGCAACGGGTGGCGAGCCCGTCCGGACTGGAGGATCGCCTGGGAGGGCAACCCGAACTCATTCGCGCTGTCCTACCCTTACATCCTGGCGTTCGAACCCAACTTCGTTGAAATTCGACACGTTGAAACAAGTGAATTGACGCACCTTATGACCGGCAAGAATATTCGCATGTTACACAGTTCCACCCGCGAGGTATGTCACTTCTATGTTTTTCTTCCCGAATGTTTTCTTTTATCACAGATCAAATGCTGACTAGTTTTGGTAGATTATCTACGCCTATGAAGATGAACGAGGCTACGACACTGTTGCCAGTTTAGATTTCTGGACCAACAAGCCACAGCCAGCGGCCACCTAATGTCCGACGGGTACATGCCACAATAAACCCCTGCTTGGCATCGCCGCCTTGACGCTGTCGTCCGCATCTCTTTTCCCACGTAGCATTAAGGAGGTCTCTGTCTAAGGTTCTGAACGACACTCGCCTTCACTACATGTTCCGTCCCAACACACTCGCGAAGTTGTGACTGTTTACTGTGTTGTCTGTACAACAGTTCAGCGGATAATCCACATCTGCTTCGCAAACACCCATCCCTGCCTTTCCTCAACACCCAACCAATCACAACAAATCGGGGTCTTTCCCCGTCTTTTCTACGCAATGTACAATGGAGCGCAAATACCACTTCTTGCGTGTCTGCTTTCTTGCTTTTCACCTTGCCCTTTCTTCTCCTTGCTGGTTGCATATGCTCTTTTTTTTCTCTTCTTTTTAAAAATTTTTTACCTTTCTTCTTTAGCTCTTTCTATCTCCCGATGGCTATGTCTTCTTCCGCATGGCCATATTCTCGAGACGTCTTCGTTCTACCTGTATCGTTTTGAGTTCGAGACATCTTTGTCTGTTATACTTAGCAATTTCATTGATGTGAATGGCACCATTGCATTTCAGATGACAATTGCAGGAAATTTAAAATTAGCCCACTAATGTGATTAAATACAATTGTGATGTTCGATCTGCTTTCATGGTCTTCCATTTTTCCCCTGCTAGCTAGAATGAAAATAATATGTATAAAGCAGCGGAATATATATCTTGATGTTGGTATATAGCTCAACGCTTGATGATTGGTTCACATACAGCTAGAAATCAACTTGGTAGTAGTAGTATACAACTATCTTTTTACTTCTGGACCAAGTTGTGAAATTAGGCAAAACTTGATCGCCCTTGATGGCGAACCAAGCTCAACATATATTAGCTGTAGTCCCACAAACTAAAGCACACTGCTACAGATAGTACACAGTAACAAGCTACGGTGGCACAACCAAAAACGAGAGAAGTGAGCTACTCAGGTACTTTTTCTTCCTCAATTACTATCGGGGGAAGACAGGCGAGGAGAAAGGATAGATATTTGGCAAGACAGGAGCCATGAACGCAAAAAAAAAACAAGAGAAGAGGGAATATTGCTGCGCTGCGGACTTTGGACAAGAACAGGAGAGGAAGCAGAGAAGTGGGGGAAATAGAAATGATACAGCAACATGTAACGGGCCAGCTGGGATGTGATCAAAAGAAAAAAAGATAGGATGACCTGGACATGACGGAAAGCATGTGCTGGAAAAGAGGCAGTCATCGGGTTGAACGCAGTGAGATATGTCGAGGATAGGGATTCCAGAATCTGGCAAAAACAATTCCCAACTCGACATAGTTCTGTTTCCCATTGGAAATGAGAAGTATTGCACCCACAATTCATGACCAGAGTGCCGTAATCTATGTTGAGGCGGCCCATCCTCGCAGGGGTAAAAGAAAAGAAGAAAAAAGCTATTAACGTGAATAAACAGAGTCAATATTATCCCATAAACAAAAGCCAACTTGTTGGTGCCACAAAAAGTCCATGTTGGCACAAACGGTATCACATTGCGAACCGGCGCCCCGCTGAATGAGCCATATCATCGACAGGGTATATCTAGGCCTCTCCGTTGGCTGCTTCGCCGCCCTGGCTTTGCTCACGCTGCATGCGAGCTTCGATCTCTCGGAGCTGGCTCTCGCGAGCCAACAGCTCCTGTCGCTTCTCGGCAATCTCACGCTGTACCTTGATTTCAACCTCACGGAGCTTCTCCTCCTCGCGACGGAGCTGCTCCTCCTTGAGGCGGTGAGACTGGGAGGCAAGATCCTCGGGGTTCATAGCAGAATCATAGCCACTAGTCATCCGTGTGTTAGCAGATCGATCATAGATATTTCCAATACCAGGATAAACATACCCAGATCCAACATCGACGCTCTTGCTAAGCTTCTCAGTACGGTAGTTCTCATAGAGGAAGTCGTGAGTGATCTCCTTCAGATCAGCCAAGTGGCTGTGGAGCAGAGCGCTACGGATAGCCAGGAAGTCCGAGTGACGAGGGTTCTCAACCTCGACAACACCCCATGGGTACTGGCGCGCGCGCACTTTCCGGTTGTCAATCTCAACAAAATCTTCGGAGCCGACAATAGCAAAAGGCATGAGTCCACGGAGCTCGGCATTCTCCTCCACGGTATCCTCATCATCCTCCTCGATGTCGTAGGGGAAGTTGTAGACGGGAATGCGGTAGTGTTCAATGTCCTCCATGATCAGCTTCTTGGACTCAGCCAATTCGGCGGGGGGTGAGTGAATCGGCCTTTCCAATGACAGGAATGACATTAACACGGGGAGAGAGTCGCTTCATCAATTCGATATCGAGTTCACGGAGACCGTGGCCGGTGGGTGTGATAAAGTAGAGCAGGACGTGCACTCGGTTATCCCTGAATCGAGGGTTACGCTTAATTCGCGATTCCTCTGCAAGAATATCATCGTATTGGCGCTCAAGGTAACCGACAATCTCGCCGAAGCTACACAAAAAGTCAGTCGATGAACATATGTCGGGTATCTGTGTGTACATGCCTGGCCTCGTTGTCAATCTGGTCACCAAATCCGGGGGTATCGACGATGGTCAGGGAAATGCGGGTTCCTTCCTCGTCCAACTCGAGCTCTGCCATCCCAGTGTCAGTATTGATGGCTTGATATAAGCGCCGTGCGCAGGGGACGGTTTCAACTGACCGACAGTCACGGGCTTGATGCGGACACCCTCCTCAAGGTGGGCATTGGCAGCATCATCGGCATCCTTGCCCTCTAGAACCTGCTTTCCGCAGAGAGTGTTGACAAAAGTTGTGCGGCCTGTCGCAGAAAGGAGATCCGGTTAGTCCCTGGAAGTCGAGTAAGTCGGGTTGAACATACCTGTTCCACTGGCGCCGCACACCATCAAACAGAATTGGATACCCTTCTTGACATTCTTCTTGCGACGAATCTTGATCTACCCGGAACGAGTACGGGCATGCAATTAGCTTGGGAAACTTTTTGAGAACGCGGGAAGCTCCCAATAAAAGGGGAGAATGCACATACCGCGTTGAGGGCTGACGACATTGTGAGCTAGACGAAGATTAAAGAAGTTTAATCTGAAGACAGAAGCCCAAAGCAAGGAATTAATAACGAGGAAGAAGGGTGTGAAACTTGGCTCTCCTGAGAGTCTGGAGAGAGTAGGGGGGGGAGGAAAGACAGTTCGTGTTTCCCCCTTTCCCAAATAGGTGGCCAATCACGGGACAGCTCTTCTTCTCCAGTCTGCTACCTTTTTACTTCTACAAAGCTCTTGATCGTCACAATGGATTAGTGAATGTAGAAAAAAAAAGGCAAAATACATTAAATTATCATACATTTGGGTATTTCCCCCTTATTTCCATACACAATATTGCCTTGATGCTCATCAACAAACATCAAGCAGCAACTCAGGGGTTGATCAAAGTGGGTCGCTGCTGGCAACCGTATGATTATGTAATTCATGCCTGAGGTGTCAATGTGGATCTTGCCCGCATTGCTTCTTATCGATTAAGAAGCTCGGGGATGATCCCAGACATCCTATGAAGGCATTTGAAGCATTTGAACCTGAAAAGATCATTAAGGTCAACTATTTATTAGGAATTGCGGACTTTATCATCGAGAGTCAACCCACACATATCTATCTAATCAAAAAATCTCTCTCTTATGCTTCGTTGACATACAGCAATGAATACCCGCCAATCTATCGATGAGTCCACCGGGCCATATTCACTCTCAGCAACATTTAATCATAATAACAGCTGTTTCTCAGTGGGATTGGAAACGGGATTTTGTGGTAAGGGAAGCTTGAGTCAGCTGCCAGGAGAGCCTTGGAAGAAGCTAGCTCATATCATGAACTATGAAGCCGAGGCTGATGAACGATTCGAACAGTATATAATGCCAACCCTTGCGAGCTCAAGGTTTTGAGAGGTAAGTGATTGATACTCCGGAGTCGAGAATGTACCAAATAAGGAAGAACCTGCTCTAATTGCCTTGATTTGCACTCAAAGATTTCAATGCAGGTATCGGGGTGGCGGAAATGCTTGGCCAGTCGAACTACTTGGCTATTGTGGGGGGTGGAAAGAACCCCAAGTTTCCACAGAACAAGGTAAGCAACCATTCTCAGCACAAAGTATGGGTATCCGAGCTAATATACACCCCTTAGTTGGTTATATGGGACGATGCCAAACAGAAAGCGGCCATCACACTTGAATTCCGCACTTCCGTCCTCGGTGTTCGTCTCTCCAAATCAAAAGTCGTCGCTGTCTTATTAAACAGCGTCCATGTCTTTGCATTCTCCAACCCTCCACAGAAACTCTCCGTCTTTGAGACCTCCGACAACCCCTTGGGGTTGGCCTGTCTCGATAACAAGGTGTTGGCCTTCCCGGGCCGATCTCCGGGCCAGGTCCAAATGATAGAGCTGGAGACCGGCAACATCAGTATCATACCCGCACATAGCACACCGTTGCGTGCTATGGCTTTGAGTCCAGATGGGAACTTGCTGGCGACGGCGAGTGAGTCTGTAAGTTCACTTGGCTGCGATGATCTATCGGTGGGTTATTGACATCTGTACAGGGGACTTTGGTTCGTGTATTTGCTACAGGGAATTGCACGAAGCTAGCAGAATTGCGACGCGGTGTTGACCACGCCGTGGTATTCTCAATTTCATTTTCGCCATCCAATACTTTGCTGGCAGTAACATCTGACAAATCGACTCTTCACATCTTTGATATCCCCCACCAGCAACCCACCGCTCGTCGCAGTCAGTCACCATCACCAGCATCCGAAGAAGCACATCCTAGCCAGAAATGGGGAATCCTTGGCAAGATTCCCCTACTTCCTCGTGTCTTCTCAGATGTCTATTCATTTGCCAACGCACATTTCGAGATTGGTGAACAACCCAACCTGGGCTCGCATGTGCCACCGATCGGGTCATCATTTGGTCGGCCTCAAAAAGGCCTGATAGGCTGGTGCGATGACCAGACTCTGTTGGTAATTGGAGCTGGGAAAGAGGGGCGCTGGGAGAAATTTGTGCTTCGAGAGGGCGAGGAAGGAAAGCGATATTGCTTGCGGGATGGCTGGAAGAGATACCTTGGTTGATAGAAGAGAATTCCCAGTCTGTCAAAATAAGGGTAGTACTATATCGCACAGCAAATAACGAACACCTTGTCCGCAGCACCCAGATTACTGCCAGCATCAAGCTTGAATCATTGCATCGCTTTCTGGACGGCGAAATACCATTATCTAGTCAGGATGACCCAACTAGCAAGCAGAGGATCTCGGCGAGAAAGATTTGTAGGGTCGTAGATAACCTTGGAAGACTTTATAATGATATCTCATACTTTTCAACGGCGGCGATCATGTCTATCCCGATCACTGCGATGTCTTCGGGACTCGGGAGAGCGTGATTTCCTCGGTGATCGGTCCCTTCTGGATTTCTCACCTCTTTCGGATGACCTATAGCGAGATCGCCTCTCTTTATCTGGAGAACGATCATCTCGATGTCTTCGCTCGCGAGGAGAACGGGAGCGGTGTCGGCGGTGGTGTCGACTTGATCGTTCTCTACTGTCATCGCGTCGCCGAGATGATTTCTTGGTGCTGTTCCACAACTGGATTGCAGTAGCGACCTCTTCCTTCTTTTCCTCGATGAGGAATTCCTTCATCGGGTCTTCGTCGTCGTGGTTCCGAATCAATTCTTCCAGCTCCTTCTCCTCTTTCAGCATCGGTCGCCTCTCTTCTATTTCTCTTCGGTCGTTCTCCTTGGCCTTCTTGTTCTCGATAGCCGGATCTCCCATCAACTTGGCGACATTGTCCTGCTCTTCCTCATCATCCTTCCGCTTGTAGCGCGCATGATCCACCCGAAGCAAACGACCCATGACAGTTGCACCCCCAAGGTTATCCACTGCAAGATCCGTGCTGCGCTGGTCTTCATATTTCAGGAAGGCAAATCCCTTGCTCTTGCCTGTTTCCTTGTCGCGGACTAGATTGACATGCACCGGTTCTCCATACTGTGAGAAAATCGCGATGATATCACCTTCAGATAGATCAAATGGAAGCCCTCCGATGTAGATATAGGCTGTGTCACGGTAGTCTGCGTGCCATGATGCCTCTGGGGGTCTATAGGTGGAAGGTAAGACTGTCAGCGGGGAAAAAGAGCTTTGCGGAAGCTTCATATGAGTTCAACTTACATCGCATGCTCAAGCTCGCGCTTATTGAGCGCCTGGACCTGGCGAATAGAATTCATGGGAAATGGAAATGTGTGAGAGAGAATGGTTGAAGGTGAGAAGTTGGAGAGAAATAAATGTGGAGACCTTGCGGAACCGTAATAATCAATTGTTTACGGAGACGCACCTTTATAATGCAAACTAGCCCCCTGCTCAACGACGTGCCAGAAAAAGACACTCCTCTTTTTTTGTGACTTGCATTCGAAGAACTTTTCGCAAGCAGGCTTGTTTTCACCTGGGCCCCCTACATTTATCCATCTTCCTCGGGATTCCCCTGACCCGCGACGTTGCTTCGCCCTTCTCCCCCTCCGCCTCCACATTTCCACGCGCACAATATTTCCGCTGTACTACGGTAGAGAAAAACATTTGGAAGGGTGAATGCCCTTTGAGGCATGGTGGGACTAGACACGATGTCCTCCAGTCCGAATCCCGGGTCGAAGGTGGCCGGAACGAGCAGTCGGCCAACAAGCAAAGATGGCTCCAAGAAGAACATTTGGTCCTCTCTATTAGATACTGTTGCTAATGGCAAGCGCTTGCCTGAGAAGAACTTGCTAGTGCTAGGTTAGTATCAGTTTCCTCTGAGCGTTCTAGTCTGGCTCATCCTCATTTCTGGTCCCGTCTTTCAATTTCTTGGACGTGTCGCTGATAGCTCGACGATAGGTGGTACGCCGGACAGCCAAAGGGAATTTCTAGATACTTTTTCCGCGGACACGTCTGGAGACCCTAGCTTAGCAAACGACAAACGGAAAGGTAAAGGGAAAACACCTCCAATCGCCAATCAGTTTGCGCTTGGATACACATATCGAGATGTCCTTGATGCTGATAAAGAAGGTATTGGAACAATGCACTCTTTTACTAGCTTTGGCTATGCTAATGCTCTTCTTGCGCAGATACTCTGGCCCGCGTCTCGGCCTACCTCCTGTCCGAACCTTCTCCGTCATTCGCACCTCTCCTCAAACCACTCCTGACCCCCAAGTCCGTCCCGGAAACGCTGGTTGTCATCCTGATGGACTGGTCAGACCCATGGACGTGGGTTCGAAGGCTAAGAGAATGGACCCGTCTGCTACGTTCTGTGCTCGTTTCGCTTGACGATGAAACTAAATTCGTTATGGAAGAGACCATGACCGAGTGGCGCGATCGCAAAAGGGGAATTGATCCTAGCTCCGCGGCTGCAGGCGGCATGTCAAACTCAAGCGGTCCTGTCACAATACCTCTAGGACCCGGTGAATGGGACGAGGGTCTCGGAATCCCAATGTGTGTTGTCTGCCAAGGGGTACGTAAACTCTTATCCATAAATCAACTACTGGTAAACTTTACTAATTTGGTTCCTCGACTTTCTCAGGCGGATAAGATTGAGAAGTTGGAGAAAGATCACGGATGGCATGAAGAGCAGTTCGATTTCGTTCTCCAGTTCCTCAGAACAATTCTCCTGAAGCGTAAGGACTTTCCTACCCTATGTTTGGCCATTTTGGGCTCTTTTCTAACCCCCGACAGACGGCGCATCGCTCATCTATACTACCCCATTCCTTGCAAACTCTCTTCAGGGCCTGATTCATTCTTCCCTGGGCATACACTCTCTTTTGAAGCGAGAATCATTAAAACATAATGTGATCGACCGAGACAAGATCCTGGTCCCAGCCAACTGGGACTCGTGGGGTAAGATCCGAATTATTCGGGAAGGATTTGACATGGAGGGAGTTTCAACAGCGTGGTCAATTGAGATCCAGGACCCTCCCGAGTCAATCTATCAAACCACAGACGAAAACCAGCAGAGCGAGAACGGCCTAGCAGACGAAGGCACAAGCGCGGTGACCATGTTCGAACAGACAATCAACGACCCCAAACGAGGTACAGCCAACCCCCACGGTAACACGACCAAGATCGAAATCGAGACCACCGACCTCCAAGATTTCTTCGCGACCCAAGTGGAAAAACTGGAAGATCTCAAAGCCAAGGATGAGAAGGAGAATTCAAACCAGCCAACCCCACAACTGGAGATGTCTCCCATGGCCGACGAAGGCAAAGTCAATGATCACATTGGCCCTGTACAGTTCAACATGGGCGGAATCCAAGTGGACGCCGATGATATGTTGAAAAAGCTTCGGGTAAGCACCCGATCAGCGCGGCGTCATCCCCCTCCCCAACCCAGGACATAGCTAAATATTACCCCAGGACCGCGAGGCCAGCCGAACCCTAAAGAAGGAGAGCCCATATGCAGGCACCGGCGGCAATGACGAGAAAGCCCACAACCAAGCCCTGGCGAACTTCTTTGCTGGCCTCGTCAAGAAGCCTGGCTCTAGTCCCCGTGGCAGCCCCTCGGCTTGATTTATTCTTTTCTCGCTGTATTTTAGTTCTTTGTGCGTACATAATACAGAGGCCGGAACTCTCGCTCCTAACGATGGGCTGGGTGGTTTGATATATGGAGATGAAAGAGCTCTTGGGAGGCCTTTGACTGTGAAGGAGGGACAGTCACTCTGTTAGTACCTTAGCGGTGGAGGGGGTCCCCATGGCTTTTCGGCAGGTGTTAGATAATGATACCAATATGAAGTCTGTGATTTGTGATTTTAAATGTCTTTCCAGCAGTACGAGGAAACAACAGGCGGATGGATATATATATATACGCTTACCGTTGAAGCTATAACTGCAAAGCACGGCACCAAAATGCTTCTTAGTAAACCAAAAGTAATTTTTTTTTGTAGTCTATTTTACTATTATTTCATACCGTGCAATTCTCAGACATAGAAAGACAAGAGAAAAGCCAGAGCAAGAGCAGGAGTAATATTCGATATTCAAATTTTACTCTTGCTCCCTTTCAACACTCACCAGTTCTCCCACACGGCATCAGGCAGAACCTTGCGCATAATAGCCCAGTGCTTGAGCGCACTGCGATCCTGGTACTTGTGCAATCTTCCGACCTCCTTCGCCCTCAAAAGATACTTACCGGTCTTGGGGTAAGAGGCAAACATGGCAGGGTCCAGTTCATGCTTGGGAACCAGATAGCTTTCACGAGACCTGCTGCGCAGGAAGTCTGCCGGGACAGGGTCACGGAATTGAATCGGTGTGTTGGAGCTCTTCTTGCAGAACAGAACCATGTTGGTGAAGTCGGTATCTTCGCCCTTCCCGGTGGGTTCTTCGCGGAAGATGCGGCAAGATGGGAAGACAGCTCGGATGGTGCGGACGATGAGACCAGTTGGGTAGAGGGTCAAGTCACCGGCGTAGTTCTGGGGTTTGTTCGTTAGTTTGTGGTTAAGTTGGGGGTTTGTTGTTTGGTGCGACTCACAATGGCAATGGCACCGTCTTCTTTGAGGAGCGAGTGAAGGCCTGACAGGAACTCGTACGTGAAGAGTTCAGCAGGCTCGGCGCCTCCGGTGAATACGTCGTGGACGATGTAATCATACTGGGGTGTATTGGGGGAGGACTCTGCCTTCTTCACAAATTTCACAGCGTCTTCAATGACGGGGATGTGGTTGGGTGGGAGGTTGAAATACTGAGTGGCGAACCTGTGCACGACAGGATCGATTTCGACGATGGTAGTTTCAACACCGTGTTTTATGAGCGCGGAGGGTGTTGTACCAATTCCAAGACCACTGTTTCCTGTTAGTAAGCTGGGTGATTGATGCTTTTCCTGTGGTTCTTACATGACCAGCGCCTTGCTGTCCGCGTCAACGCGGGGAATGCCATGATCTGGCTCAACCAGACGCACAGCCTCGAGCATGGCGAAGATTGCGTAGATAGGATCTTCCACCTCAGGCTGGTAGCCTGGTGCCAACCTAGTCCACTGCCCACCGAGCAGACTGTGATCGCAACGCATAACGCGGAATCCGTCATTCTGGTTTTCCAAAACAGAAATGTATCCCGTATAAGCTTCCTGTCGTG